AACCAAAATTGATTTCTAAATACTTCAAGATGAAACTGGCACTGATATGCAATTATCTTTTTCAGCTCTACATTGCTTGTACATAGAATGGATCCTTTCCGTGAATTATTTTAGACTGCAATTCTTGACTGATATAAATATCCTACAGAAATCATCCCACGATATAAGCATCTAAGTAGAATGAATAATCTAACAAGCTTTACACATATATAACACTGGTGCTGAAAAATCTATACTGGCTGCCTGTTCGCTACCAAGGCAAATTCAAGGTTTGGTTGTTGACATTTAAAGTCTTAACCAGTGGCAGACTTTGGGGTCTCAAATTTCAGTGGTGCCCTGTGTGACGCCAAAATTGGGGGGCAGGGCTGCCTCTCACCTTCCACTCTACATCATAGTTGCAGCACCCCCTGCAGACCCCCAAAGCTCTGCACCCAGTGCGACTGAACCTAAATCTGCCTCTGCTTTAATAACTTGGAAACTGGACATCCTAGGTGCAGACCAGCCAATCAATTCCATGATCAGTCAATTGTCACTTGGGGACAACGCAGAAGCAAGCCTTATCAGTGATCACACCCACCCTCAAAAATGCCCACCCTCGGGGAATTCTTGAGCCAGACACCTCTTAAAAACTTTTTTATCCAAGCTCTACTGGATTTGGGAACTTTAATTTTCTTTTCAACACTATTTGGTTTTCTATGTGGTATACAGTTGTGTTTTGTTTTTAATCTCATTTTAACTAGTTTTTATGTTATGCAATGTTATGCTTTACAATATTACCCCATGTTGTATTTCAATTGGGCTGTATCCAACTAAATTCCATGCAGAGTAGAGCACTGAAATTAATGGACCTAAGTTAGTCTTGTCAATTAATTTCAATGGGTCTACTTCCATTGGGACTAACCCATTTTTATGTCAACTTGTTTTTATTATTGCTTGTTAGCCGCCCTGAGCCCAGCCTTGGCTGGGGAGGGCGGGGTATAAACAAAATTTAGTATTTATTATTATTATTATAAGCTGCTTAAAATATTATTCTAAGTAATATAAAGATGTTATAAACAAACAACTTTGTAAAGAAAATATGTTCAATGTGCAAATTATTTTGTGCCTTATAACCATAAAAAAACTTTTTAAAAAGCTTTGCAAAGTTTCCATTTTTATGACAGAGACCTGCTTCAGACACTCACTTAAGCCACAGTTTTTAGGTGATCACAAGCAAGGCATGGCATGCTTTCATGATTTCACACGTTCCCAGCCTCATCTGCCATGTGCAAGAGGAGAAGTGAAAGCTTTCCTTTTTAATTAAGAAGAAACCACAGTTCCATGTCATGTCCAAATGCAGAGGACAAACCAGGATCTCAAGCCAGTTTTGTTTTTTTAAAGTTGTTTGCAATGGGAACTGTGGTTGGTTCTTAGGCCCCGGCTTGCCTCATCCCTATACACCAGCCATGTGGGTTGGGGCTGATAGGAGTTGAGCCCAACATCTGGAGGGTCACAGGTTAGCCACCCGTGTTCTAAAGTGAACACAGATTCAACTTCTCATATGTGTGAAGAAGATGGAAGCACATGTGTCCATGTGTTGCCATCACTCACTGTCATTCATTTAAGTCAAAGAGTAAGTCCAGTTATTTAAGCAGCATATGCAACTCCATACTATGTTACAACTTGTATATTGTGGACTTCTCAAATCATACACACTAAACCCTACAAACAAGTTAGTACTATTTTTCTAGATATGAATCACATGATTCCAACATGAAGTATAACATCCGTAACAGAGGAATTAGAGAGTAACCTGAAAAGACACAAAACTATAAATGCACTCATCCCATAACTACATCTGCATTACCGCCTTACATTAATACAGTGCCCCCTCTGGATACGAATTTAATTTGTTCCGGGGGTCCGTGTGCACCTGAAAATTTCTAAGAAGAGGCACTGCTTCTGCGCATGCGCACACGGTGAAACTACGTTACCCAAAGGTAACGTAACCTGAGGGTCCACTGTATGTTAGCAGCAACACTTTGAAAACAATGCTACAAAATAGTTACAATGAAGCAATGTGAAACAGACGTTTTAAACAGCAGCTGACAGCTATAATCAAACCCAACTGAAAAGCTTGACAAGAAAAAGACAAGATTGAGACACGCATGTTTTGGGAAAATGCATAACTCAGATAAGAAACATTTGAAATATTTGAATATTTGAAACACCATTCCCCTAAGAAAGAATGTGTGCTTAGATCCTTAAAGCCTAGTGTCAGAGCTGAAAGAAACAAACCTAGAAGCCTGGTCTCCCAAGCTTCTAAAACTGATGCTTTGTATCAACTCATGCTTTGTATACCGGTCTTTGTTCCAAACCTCAATGCCTCTAGTTTAAAAGGATTAGGTAGTATGTGGAAGTCCATACCAAACTACATGGACAAATGAGGTAGTTTAATTTTCCCTCATCACTCCTGTACAAAATTGGTACCTAAAGATGTGGTGCCGACATCTAGGTATTTAAAAATAAAACCTATAGTTCAAGCCTCACTCACTCTCACCTCAGGTCTCTCAGCTTCTAGCCTCATCAGTTGGTGCAGACCTAGTCCACAAGGATGTAGAAGACCACAAGGGCACCCACAAATCCACAAGTGCTAGAAGTCCAAAGGCAAATGGGGCTTGCCATGACATGTATCAACTTCTACAAGTCAATGAGGGCACCATTGGGAGGGTGACCATTGTTAATCCAATACTCCCAAGCCCAAATTCTGGGGTAGCCATGATGAACTAAGATGGATGGAAGCAGTGGAAAAGTAAATCTGTGTGTAACCTCTCCCAATGTAATAAAAAAACCTGCCTTTGGGAGAGACCTTGACACGTGGACTGCTAATGAACAAAGAAGAATAGCATAGTTGAGTTAATAAGAACGTCTTGTTAACCAATAGACAGAAATTGGCTCTTGGGCAGCATGTGAAACCATACTAATAAGCCTAAGGCAATATGTAGAAGTGGTTTGTTTATAATCTAATGTTGAAATGGAATGGCAAAAGTAACAAACTGGGATTCGTCTGACAGCTCAGCTCCAGCCTGTGAAGTAGCCTGCCAGCTTTATCTCATGATCTCAGTACTGTGATGCATCAGAATCAAGATACAAAATAGGGACCACCCACTTGCTGGCACACAAACTCTCAAGCACCGCCTTTGCCAACCTGGTGCCCTATAGATGTTTTTAAGTACAATTCACATCAGGCATAGCATCTGGGATTGATGGGCTGTAGTACAACACACCTGGAAGGCACCAGATTAGCAAAGGCTGTTCCAGCAAAACAAGATCAAGGTAAGAACATTCCATGCCACTGGATATGAATCTAGCAAGCTTTAGATAATGATATGGAACACATTAACAATGACAAATACAGTGGTACCTCGGGTTAAGTACTTAATTCGTTCTGGAGGTCCGATCTTAACCTGAAGCACCACTTTAGCTAATGGGGCCTACCGCTGCCGCCGCAGCACGATTTCTGTTCTCATCCTGAAGCAAAGTTCTTAACCTGAAGCACTATTTCTGGGTTAGCGGAGTCTGTAACCTGAAGCATATGTAACCTGAAGCGTATGGTACACGAGGTAACACTGTACATAATTGCTTTATGCACTCTTTCAAGTGAATCACAACCAGATTTTGAATTAGAGAAATTTTAAATATTTAAAAGTGAAAAAGCCAATATTAATCTATTTTGACTATGTCCTTACAAAACATTAAATCGTATGTTCAACAGAACAGACTTTACACATTGACAAAATTCTCTCTTTGAAATCATACAAGTTTACAACTGACTTTTAGAAGACATCTGAAGGCAGCCCCGGATAGGGAAGTTCTTAGTGTTTCATGCTTTCCTTTAACACTGTCATCTTATCTGTGCTTAAGTAAGATTGGTAGCTATGGGCATCACTGAAGAGGTAAGCCTAAATAGAGTAAGTGTAGCCTAATAGTTAGAGTGTTGGACTTAGGACCCGGGGTTTGAACCCCCATTCAGCCATGAAGCTCATTTGATGACCTTGGGTTAGTCAGTCTTGGGTTATAAGCTGGAACTTAAGGACCTAGAAGAAAAAGCATCCAAATGTATACACTGATCAGTAAGAGCTTGAGTTTACAAGACAGTAACTACACAGCTGTACATGGGGGAGCGAGTTCTACTTTAGCACATCAGCAGAAATATACAGCAGGGTTGGAGAACCCGTGGGCCTCTAAGTGTTGTTGTGCTCAAATTCACATCATCCCTGACCATCGGAGCAGCCTAACTGAGGCTGATGGGAGTCGGTCCAAAAACATCTGAAATATTAACAGTCTACTTCATCCAGCAAAAGCAGTGTCATGACTGAGCTAAACAATATTAGAAAACTGAGGCAGGTGGCAGTTTAATTAAAGAATGCTATATTATGTACAGCATGAGTCTCAGTGCATACATAATGAGGCACCCCTCCCCATTTTCTTAATAATTAAAGCACCCCATTGTAATCTGGAATTGAAAGGCAAGGACTCGAAACTAGCACATATTTTAATCCCACCTATATTCGTCGCCAGCCCTTCCTTCAAAGATCTCAAGCTGGCGTTTCCGTTTCACGACCACACTGAGAAACAGACTGGGCTGCAAGAAGACAATTGCGGCCAAGCTACCCCAGGAAGTCATAGCCGGCCAGGGGGTTGAATTGGATTTCCCTTGCCACCGTCCACCACTATGCCGACACGTCAGCATGCAAGTCAACGTCACTTTCTAAAAGGTCTGAGGAAATGAAAACACGTCACACGTGCGCAACACCCAGCTATCAAGAGAGCAAAAGGAAGAAAAGCCTGTTTAAATAGGTGGAACCGAAGCAGGAAAGTGACGAAGGCCGTTTTGTACCGGGGAAGGGGAGGGGGATAAATTTAGAGCACCAACCCCACTTCACCCGGAGACGACCCGCCCCCGTCCGCAGGGTGAGCCGTTGCCCAGCCCTCTCCGCCTCCAGCCTCACTCCCCTCACCTGATGCGCGGAGCCAGAAGCGTCAGCTGGAGGAGGAGGAGGAGGAGGAAGAGGCCTCAGCCCTCGCGGCTCCTTCACGACGCTCCGAAGCGTCACCAGCAACGGGCGCCTCAGCCCCGGCTCAGGCTGCCGAGGACCCCCATCAGCGCGTCCCAGCCGCTAAGATGCAAAGGCAAGTCCCTCGCCGCCGCCATCTTCCTCCCGCCGCCACCTTCGACCTTCGAACTCTTCCCCCTCCCTCGGGTCACTTCCGGTCCGCTGTCGCCTGAGCTTCGGTTGCCAAGGTGATCTCCGCGCTCTCCCGCGTGGGGAATCGGATTCTCTTAAAGAGATAGCGCCCTTTTTGAGCAACGCCTGCCTTCTGTATAGAAGGACAAGGGACCGACCTTCTTTCTTTTTCCTTCCCCTGCTCAGTTTACGACTGAAGCTCGAGCCACCCAATTATGGCACTCTGTTGTTGTTATTAAGAACAAGGATTTATCCCGTGCCGTAAAATTACCTCTTTTAATGTTGTGGCTTTATATGCCCTGAAACACACCCACCCACCCCAATGCAGTATAATTAAAATTACCAACACACACACACACACACACACACACTACCTTTTCATAGCTGTCAACTTTTGCCTTTTCTTGCGAGGAATCCTATTCGGAATTAGGGAATTTCCCTTAAAAAAGGGAAAACGTTGACTGCTATGCCTATTTTTAACACTTAAGTGTTAAGCTAGCAAAGCTTGGAGTGTTATTCCTGTTGTAAATGGTCACTGCGCTTATCTCGCAACACATTTGCGATTTCCATTGAAAGGTCAGGCAGGCTTCATGTACTTACAGCAATTCGTGATCTTTAACCTCCACTGGTGCGTTTGCGTGTGTGTGCACGTGGGGATGTTTGCAAACTAGGGATAGCATCTCATGTATCTGAAAGGTGCGATAATCCATTAGATTCTAAGGGTTTCTAAAACTACACACACACACCCCAAAAATGGGGGAAACAGAAGCCTAGATCATTGTAAAAAAAAAAAAAAATAGCTTGCCCCATAACATTTAGACAGTGTTCAAATTGTATGAAGGGCTTCATCAGGGTCCTCCACCATTTGTCATCTACAGCAGCCACTGGAAAGAGATGGGACTCCAGGGCCTTCTCCATCAGTTCTACGGAAATATCAGTAACTTTAAGCTCCTCTGGTCTTTGAAATGTTTTCATTCCAGCTGGTCATTTTCAAGAACTCCAGAGTAGCCAGTGTAATAATGTAGGGGCATTTGTTTCCTGGAAACACTGGGATGAGAGAGATCAGAGATGATCCCTGGAGAATGGTGTGAGGGGATGAAGCATGAATGTCTGGAGAAGCTCCAGCACAAAAATAGTTGTTGTTTTAACTGGGGTTGTTGTTTTTTTTAAAAAAAATTAAATAAAAACACTTTCAACAACTTTATCAAGTCTCCTCTTACATTTTTCCAAATGAAAAAGGCCCAGATTTTGTAACTTGCCTTCAGATAGACATCTGCGAACACTGTCCAGCTTGCAACATGTTGTAAATCCTGGAAGCCAGAACCCAAGTTTGGGGCAAGTACTCTTTGGTGAGAGAACCCCAGCGGAGAGTAAACATGCCCCCACATTGCTTAGAGCACTTGCCTATCTCCCTAGAAAAGGTCAACATCTTTGGATGATTACCCATAGCTGAGCAACTATGCCAAATTTTAACTTATTGAAATGCGGCAACATTAGTTTAAGTCTTGTTTTAAATTTATTTGTTGTTTTTGCACTTTAACTGCTTTCAGTTTATTAATCACCTTCCAAACCACTGTCTCAAAGCAATTTACCCAGATGGGTAAATTGCTTTGAGACAGTGGTTTGGAAGGTGAATAATAAATTAACTGTGATCACCATCATCATGCTTTTGGCCATGCCAGCATAGTTCCACTGGTCACTTGCCCTGATATATAAAACCAGGACGGTGTTCTCTATGTTCTGCTGCAACAGACACTGGTGATATGTCTCTTGAGCTTGAAGCTGTCCTCCTTTTTGCTTGCGCAAGAAACTATAGAATTGAACTGGCAGCTGCATGGCTATTTTGGGTATAGACTTTGGGTTCCCATGCTAAAGCATTCAAGATTAAAAACAGCAACACAATAACATTTATTCTGTAGAGCATGTGTGCAGCCATGCAAAGAGCGATGCTACTTTGCTTAAGTGATAAAGTGGATGGCTTGCTAGGTCTTTTCCATTTCTGCATGCTGTGATTCATGTTGACTGGAATGTTTTTGCATTTGTAACCAGAGAGGAGCCAGATTAATAACACGGGAAGGGGCTGCAGTACACAGCCTTTGTACTATAAAAGAACAGTAATCTGGTACTTCATTGCCTTTACTGGGATTCATCCATAGTTCTTACAGCAACCAAAGCGTAAGTGTTCCTGAGTGGAGTCCCTATTCCCTTAACATCTGTTTTTAAATATTTGTTCATTTTATTGTCCTGCCCTTCCCACGCATACCTGCCGTTTCCAATCTGAAACCATGAGCAGCTCACTAGACTCAAATTGCTCCTAACGTCTGTTCTTTTCATTACCACCTGGCTTGTTCATTGGATATGCCGCATAACAAATGGTGCCTTTTGTTGCTGGATCTTCAATGGAGTGTAGCATAGGGACAATTATATGCTGTCCTCTGGATATATGCCTCCTCCTTCATGACATCACTAGATTAAATCAGGGGTGGGGGGGCATAAGTGTGGTCAGTATCTACTTTTGAAGTCGTAATGCAGTGAGTCCAATTCACATTCATACAGTTTCTGGCATATTGAACAGGTCATGTACAGCTGGGTTATTTAAACTGTTAATCACCTCCCACATGATGGCTGGATTTGTGTTTCTGGTTTCAATTTTCCCTTCTAAGGGGGCCTCTGCAATAGCCGGTGGAGTCTGTTTAACCAAAGGAGCATCATATATGCCAGTGTTTCCCAACCGGTGTTCCGCGGCACACTAGTGTGCCGCGAGACGTTGCCTGGTGTGCCGTGGGAGGGAGGCGGGCGAGTCGGGCGGCGAGAGGCGGGGCGGCGGCGGCGAGGATCCGCGTCGAGCCGGGGGCGGCTCCGCGGTGGAGGTGCCGAGGTTTCTCTCTCCATTCTCCCCTCACACACACACACAGGAAATAACACAGGATCAGCTGACAGGACCTGGCCAATGGGGCGGCGGCGGGGCAGCGCGCGCAAAAGGGAGGAGCGCGAGACGGCGGCGGCGCAGGGCGGGAGGTCGGCGCATTGCGCGTGCTCAAACCCGCCCTCCGAGGCGCAGAGGGGAGCTGGGCAAGCGCCTTCTTCAACCACGCGCTCGTTTAAAGAGGCAGCGCCCGGGCGGAACAGAACTCTGTGCCTCTCGCCTAGGGATGAAGGCGGGCACTGGCTTAAGCCAGTAGTAGCCTAATAATGCATTAACTTCCGTGGGACTTCCAAGTAAACACAGCAACCCAGCGCCTCCCTCCCCAAAAGGAGGGGGAATTACAGCAGCGCAGGCGACTCCTGCGTCTCCCCGATATTTAAGGCTGCCATCCCTCGTGCACACTTACGCGGGAGCAAAACCCCATGAACAAACTAGGGCTTACTCCAGAGTAAATACGGGTAGGATCTGGCTGCAGTTGTACAAGAAGAAGCAATTGATAACGTTTTCGCGCCTTCGGGATTGCCTTCACGCCTTCCTCCTCCCGGGTCCTTGAGAGCGCGGGAAGCGGCAGCGCGAGACCGGCGTTGAGCCTGGTAGGTATTGCGCTTGCCAAGGCAGTCATTTGGGAAATGAAAACTTGCAAAGCAAGCAACCAGTTCAATCTGAAGTACGTGTATGCTTAATATCCTGTATCTGAAACCTGTTCTGCCCCCTCCCCCACACTTGGTGCCATTTTCATCTACACATGCAGCAGAGTAAGTTGACCCAGAATAGTACCAATTCAGATGGGAGAATGACAGTGCTGAATGCTTTCCCATGTAGAACAGTCCCTGCAAATAAAAACCTAGCATATTTGGAAGAGGGATGCTAGCCTAACCATTACCTTCTATGCTGTTACTATTTTTTTATTTTTTTTTTACATAAGTAAAAAGTGACCTTTCCCCATCTGGCATGGTGGTGTGCCTCGAGATTTTTTTCATGAAACAAGTGTGCCTTTGCCCAAAAAAGGTTGGGAAACACTGATATATGCCATGTTATTTCTGCTTTTGGCAGGGTTGGGAGGCTTGACTCCAAATTCCCACTTAAGAATCAAATGTTGAAATGGGAATATGAAGAGTGGTGTAGAAAATTCCTCTCCAGCTAATTAATGTGATAATTTTTGTTATAGTGACTATCCGTTACATTGATTGTTTGGGTAGAATTTCCTGCGTCAAACTGATATTGTGAGAAACCTGGTTTTGGAAGTTTTAAAGTATTTATCTGAGTTGTTTATACTTCATTTTTCAAACCAACTTGACTGTCTACACCTCAGCACTCTAAACTTTGTGATGGAGCACCCTTTGAGACCAGGGCTTTATAGTGCACCAGAACTGATCCTAGGAGTTAGCAGACTGAGAGGTTCTCTTGGAGTCCAGAACACTACCTATCAGGCTTACTACAGAAATGAGAGTGTTGGTGGCCCAAGGAAGTAATGTTCTGGAATTTGGGTGTCCTGGTTCAAAACTGTGAAAACAGAAACTATCTTATCTACTAGATGAAATGCAGACACCTCTGACTTTTCACCATACAAATGGCTTGAGGCACTTTGGAGCCCAAGGAAGAAAATAAAAAGGTTCTCTCATGGTAGCAAAATATATTATATTAAACCCAATTATTGACTATTTGCTGTGCTTGGATGGTTCTTCAAAATCTGGCATCGAGGGCAGGTTGTCTAAGCCTGCCTAATGGTAGGTTCAGCCCAGAGTACACTACAATTTTAACACTGAAGGTTATTTACACAATACTTCGGAAATCTGGTTTTTAATTGAATCTGTACTGGGAAGAGTGTTAAGCACCCTTATACATATACTGGAAAACTGATTATAAACTAATCAGTTTGAAATAATTAGTAGAGTGACTGAGAACAGCTGTTTTGATAGAAAGCAAATGTTTATTCAGAAACTATATATACACTATTAAAGCCTCCATGATATTTTTTTTAAATGGAAAGACCGGTTTTTATAGCCAAAGACAACAGCTAGGGCAAGAAAAGAATGTTCAGTATTCGGCAAAAGGAAGGATGTGATAGACTGGGAATTT